CAGGGCCAGGGTCAGGGCAAGGGCGAGGGGGAGGGCGAAGGCCAGGGCCAGGGCGAGGGCCAGGGCAGCCGCCACACAAGGGACTCCCCACGGTGGCTGAACCTCTGCCTCCCAAGGGGCCCTGGAGTCAAGATGCCCTGGACGGGCCTCGGGGTCAGAGAGCTTAGTGCTGGAGCGGCCACTCCCGGGCTGGCGGGGATGGGGCATGGGTCCTGCTCCCCAGTGCTCTCTGGGCCTCAGCCTGCAGACCAGTGGTCACCTTCTCACTGCTCAGCCCTCCAGGCCACCCGATGCTCTGGGACAGTCTCTGGCCAGACTGTCCAGGAAGGAGAGACAGTCAGAGCACTAAGGGCAAGGCCGTGGCTCTGGTGTGAGCAGTGGGCTTGGGGGCTCTGGCCCTCCCTGACCACTGGCTGGCTGTGTGGCCCTGGGCAGGCGCCTTCGCCTCTCCGGGCCTCACTTCCCCCTCTGCCCAGCCCCACCCCGGAATCCGGGGCCTGGTCAAATATGTCTGAGAGATATCACCCCCTGGCCGGAGCAGGAGTCAGGGCAGAGCCTGGGTGTCCACCCACAGGCTGGCCAAGGTTGAAGGGAGCTGGTCCCAGCCCGGGGAAGCAAGGAGCCGCAGCACCAGCGTCGCTGCTGACAATAGTCCCCCCGTCCCCCAGGAGCCACAAGACCCAGGTCTCTAAGGCTGTGCAGCCAGGGCCAGGTGCCCGACAAGCCCCCACGGCGAGCCCCGCTGCGGGCAGCACCGGCTGCACCCCGCCCCGCACCCCCGGGTGCCTGGCCATGGCCCACACTTCACCGACGGCAAAGGCCCCTCTTTGCTCTAAAACAAGAGATGTTTTTTAAGCAAGAAGCTGACAGTGATCGTGTGCCCGCGGCCACAGGGGGCTGAGCCGGGGTCAGTGTGGCCCGCACCGGGCACCCAGCCGCGGGTGCCGGACAGGGTGGCGTCTGCCGCAGCGATGGCCGGGCTCCTCCCCCATGTGCCCAGGAGTGGGAGGCAGGAGCCGCCAAGCAGATGGCAAAGGCTCAAAATAACCTCCAAATGTAAATAAAGGGTTTTGTTCAAAAAGGAAAATTAGACCTATTTCACATATTAAAATAGTTTCGCAGCTGAACTCATCGCGCTCGGGAACCTGCCCAGGGCACAGCGCTCACACCTCGGGACCGGCTCCCGGAGCCAGGGGCGGGCCACCCTCCCGGCTGAGTCCCGGGGCTCCCCGCCCCCCACCCCGTGGCACCCGGCCCCTCACGTTTCACAGCGTTGAGGACTCTGCTGTCCAGCGGCTTGCGGCTCGGGTCGCTGGTGGATGAGCGGATGCCTGTGCCACAGCTGTTGGCCAGCGTGTTCCTGGCAGGGGTGGGCGGAGGGGAGAATGAGACCGGCCACAGGTGACCACAGGAGCGGCCACAGGTGACCACAGGAGCGGCCTCCCCTCCCGCATGCTGGGCGGAGAAGCAGAGGCCCGTGGCGGTGGGCAGGGGACACCCAGGGCTGGGGTTCGGCGGGGGAGCAGCCCCACACCCTTCGGCGGATGGGAGGAGGAAAGCCCGAGGGGCAGGGGCTGCTCTGACCGACCGGAACGGAGGGGACCCGC